CTGCACCAAGAAAATCTATGTTGTAGGCTACTGAAGACTGGGGAAACTGTAAAATAGACTTCAGAAGCTAAACTTGGGAAAATTCTGATTAAGAAACCTGGTGAACATTGCATGTCAGTCTTGCAGCTAATATGAAGCATAGTGAGAAACCTGATGAATGCACGTGCTTGTTTAGTACAGCAAGGCCAAAGGACAGCAAATCTGAAGCTGGGAGTAAACGGAATATAAACCACTGAAGTGATTTACATACTTTCTTCATCTTCTTCCACACACCCCAAAGCTCTTTTTCTATTTAGCGTTTAATAGACTTGATCGAGTGCCACACTACAGTATGTATCTACAGTAGCTCTAGAGAGTGCTGATTATTAAATCAATATTTGTAAAATGATGAATTTCCAATGTCATACACCAATGATGAAGTGACTTGGTGCTCTGTAAAAGTAGTGTATATGGTCTGTGAAAACAGAGGGTACTTTGTGTTGCTGAATAGCAGCCCTTGTTGAATTAAAGGGGCTTTTTTGACTGGCTCTTTTTAGTCGCATCTAGTCTTCCTGGGAGGTATGGCAAACTCTGATGTGGGGGCTGTGCCTGGAAGGGCAGAGTTGATAAGTAGAAAATAAAATTTAAAAGTTTTATTGTGGATCTGGAGGAAATTCTAGACCAAATGATTTTAAAAATAAAGTGTATGTTTTTATTGAAAAAGGCCTTTTTCTTTTTCAGATGTGTACTAAAAATGGACCATCATTGTCCTTGGTATGGTTTTTTGTTTGTTTGTTTTTAATTACCATAACTCATGAAAACAATAGGTCAGCTCTACATTCTCTTAGGCAGATCTAAGTGTAGAACAAATCCATTTGTTTCAGTGGAATTTCTCTATATTATGGCATATGTAAATGAGAAACAGCATTTCCCCCCCTCATGTCTGATTTACATGCAATAGATTGGGATTTGGGGGTCTAAGAAAATAAAAATTTATTTAGTTTAATGAGTTTATGTGTAGATACACAAAAGAGAGAACCAGTTTTAAAAGAGATGAGATATTGATGAGCTGCTCTTTAGTTGTGCTTAGTTGAATACTGTGTATGGCAAAAAAATAACAACCATCTGCTACTTAATTGACTGACTTCATGTAGGAATTGAACTGCATGCAGATATCACATAGGATTAGTTCACTGACATTTCTGATATTGTTTTCACTTAGGTTTCTGAGTGCAGGGAATAAAACCTTGACATTCAATGTCTATTCAGTATCATGAAATGAAGTAAGCATGATACGTTGTCCAAGCCAATAATGCTAGTAAGGGTAGCCATTATTATATGTGTTCTAGGGCCTTGCATAACACCCACTGAAGCCAACGGGGAGACTCCCATTACCTTCAGTGGAGCAGGCCCCTAATTTCTGACAGGAAGCATGACATGACCTTTGGCCAGATTGATACTTTACCTAAGAAAATCTGCCTAAAATGGTGCTTGTTGCCCGCTGAGTTTTGTTCTGCAAAGCTGGTGGACAGGAGGGGGTGGACAGGAGAGAGACCCAGATCACCTACCTGAGGGAAGACACTTTGTTTAAAATGTAGATTTTAAAATGTTTCTGAGTTTGTTTGCTTTTTTTTTTTTTTTGTATCTATTTTTTGATTGGAAGAAATTGTTCCAATTGATAGCGTGCTGGAATCAAACAGTAATACTTCACAGATGTATTTATCTTGCTAACCTATCGGTCTTTGTCTCTCTCTTTTCTAGGGTGAATAACTGCGTGGGATTTTCTAACTACAAATTCTTCCTCCTGTTTTTAATGTACTCCTTACTATACTGTCTGTTCGTTGCTGCTACAGTCTTGCAGTACTTTATAAAGTTTTGGACAGTAAGTTTTGGGGGGTTTGTTAAATGTGCATGCATTTTTGAAGGCTGTATCAGAGCATCATGTGCTCAGTCATTTTTACTCTGTTTCATGGATCATTCTCATCACCAGCACCAGTCAAGGTGACCTGAAGCAAGAGCACTTTCTGAATTGAAATTAATTAATTAAGTTGTGTGTTGAATAGCAAGGTACAAACATTGGGGGAAGAAATTTCAATAGCAATAGTGTATAACTTCTCTGATCCATCAAAATTGAGCATCGCAGCTCAGTTTATCTGAATACATGTGCTGAGAACTTACTGACAGAGAACTGGTTATAATTAAACTATAGAATAAGAGAAGCAATGACAAATATGTCAAATTGTAATTTATGGATGTTCTTTGAGAGAAGAAGCAGCTAAATTTGCCTGTTCACTGTGAGTCTGCTCAGCTGTAATACAGAATACAGACAGTAGCAAATTTCAGTTTGAGATTAAGTAGCTCTTGCTGACCTGACAAGTCTAACATAAGTTTTGCCTAGTAGATACAGTGTTGCTGCTACTTTCTGCAAAATTATCAATGCCCCTATGTTATATCAATATAGATATGAATCTATATTTCTTGCCTTAAGAACTCCATTCAAATGGGCATATGTAAAGTGAAAACAACCTTGTGCATGAGTATTTATGCCAGCTGTCTCAGTCAATAGCTTGCATTTCCTTCTCCTGCCTGTAAAAACTTGCTGTGGCCCTATCCTAACAGACTAGAGAGAACAGGATGTAGCTACCTTCAGAATATTACTGTAATGCTACTGCAAATTAATGAATTGCTGCTGATTCTTCCAGTCAAAGGCTCTCTTGCATTTTTTTTTTTTTAATTCTATAATGGCGGTTGCCTCTTAGATGCAAGCTGCCATCTGTATAGCTGTGAAAAGCAGTAATTATCCTCGTAGTTGTAAGGATGACAGATCTTGGAGGAAAAAGATGTAGTCATCTCAGGATTTTTTGTTAGCATAAAAGAAGCTAGAAGATGTATTCAGAATAGCAATACTTTAAGACCATTGTTTGCATCATTTACCTTAAGAAACCAAACATATTATTTCAGTGTTATTTAGGGTTGAAACCCTAACTCTGCCAAGTATTATTTGTCTAATCTACCCTCTTGGGTAGATTAGATTACCCTAATTACCCTCTTGCCACTGTCCATTAACAGAGAGCCAAAGAACTCCATAAATTTAGGCTTCTGGCACATATTCACTTAATGGGATCTGTTCCCCAATCCCAACAGTCACATCTTCTGCCATGCCACACATGCACAGGTTGTGCAATTTTGCGACTGGAGATCAGGTCCCAGTCATGCCATTATTGTTTGCTGATAGAGGGATCCTGATCCCAGACTCCCCCTACAACAGTGAGTCAGTGCCTGGTGAACCAATGCAGTCTTGGGACTGTGTGAGTCAGCTGATTGTGGATTGGAGTCTTCAAACTGCACTGGGGCCACTCCCAGAGCTATGCCATGCAGGCTGCATGGCAGGGACCTGCCACATGTTCAGTGTACGGTGCAATAGAAACCACAAAATTACACATTTTGTGGAATAATTCTCTGTTATTTCCTGTTTTGTTGTGCCATTAATTGCTGGAATGCATGGCTGGTTCCTGGTTAAGATGCAATTATTTGGTTAATTGCATCTTAACTGTAGTGTCTGCCCAGGGAGCTTAGTGTTACAATAACTTACAAAACTGCAGTCTCCAAATTATGCATTCATTTGAGGTTTTACTGATTTCATTCTTGGGTTGTTAGGTTTTTTTAAAATTAAGTGGTCTGAATTGATTATAACTACTTGATTATAAACTACTTAATCTTTAATCAGTTTGAGCATATGCTAATGCTAGACATTGCAGAACAGGGAGGCAAATGAGTTGCACACTTTTTCTATTTTTAAGAGAGAAATTTTAGATGAGGTCCCATGTACTGTACAGGTCAGTGGGTGAGCAAACAGGGAGCAAAGGGAACGGTTTTGCTTTGTCACCTCACTTCATGCATCCTTTTATAGTGAAACTTCTCTAGACATGTGGATATAACAAGCATTTAATGCCAGCATTTACATCAAGCCTCTTCCAAAGCCCATTGGACTCTGTACAAAAGTAGATTTCTGAGTGGAGAAAGGAAGCTTAAGAGCTGCTTACAAAATCAGTGACTGAAATATTCCCTGAATTAATGCATTGCTTCTAAGAAGTGACTGTTTGGAAAGTGAAGTTCCATTTTTTTCAGCAGCACTTCTTTTGTATATTGAATGAGCTCTGCTTTCCACTAGTGACTAAAAATAAGCATTTGGTGCTGCAGAGTCAGCACGCTTACAAAAACTGAGCACTATTGCATCTTGTACATCAACAAAAGAGTTGTTTTGATTATCAGGTTGCCCAGGTGTCCCTCTGAGCCTGATTTTTGTCTGCAAAACCTTTAATACATTCTGGCTCAGCTGTCAGACTGTAATCATTTTGTTGGACTTGCAGTAGGGAAAAACACCTTTTTTAATTGCAACCTTGCATATAGTATAAGCTGGGAGCTGAGAGACAAAAACCAAAAGAACTTCATGAAATCTGTACCATTTTTATAATCATTTTTCAAAATAGAAGTGCATCTAATACCTGTACTCAAGTCCTGAATCTTAGCTATTTAAAATTTTCATGAGAATAAATGGATTATTTTTACTTCTACAGACAAGTGGCAGTACTACTAGTCAGTAGGGCTTATGAAATTCACTTGTCTGTGCTATGCAGGAAGGCTGTCTGGGTTTGCTTGTTTGTTCTAAGCCTTGATTGTTTTATGTGGCTAAAAAAAATTATAGCCCATATGGTTGAAAGGTGAACCTTACAAATAGAAATCAAGTGTTCTGATGCAATGCTCACTCAGGACTGCTGACTTCAGTGCCTCTGCTTATCTTGCCAATACTGCAAAGGGGACATTGACCAAGCTGGTCAGTTTTAACTGTGGCTCTTCGGATCTTTTGAGGCAAAACTGGCATGAAAATGTTCCAGGTGAATCTTCCTCTGCTGAAACCTGAAGAAGATACAAGAATGGGTAGGCTATTGACTGGGAAGAAGGATCCTTGAATGTTGCGTAAAAGGAGACCTATACATTGGATGAATTAGCTGTTAGTGGGCTTTGGCCCCAGTTGTGGAGAGGGACTGTTGCTTTCTTCCTTCCAGCACCCAGTGGAGAAGAGATCTGCAAACTTACAAAGCATATAGGAGCTATAGTATACAAAAATTAAACCATCAAGCTTGGTCTAGCAACAGCAGCTTCCCAGTAGGAAGCCAATCAACTTTATTCACAGAAGATACCGGTCAGGGAAGAGTTGGGAGAATTTAGGTTCCTAGCTGGCCATTGTTAGTGGCCCCAGGGTGTTAGCTGTTAGGTGTTTGGAAAAGCCTTTGTATATGAAGAAGTAGGAGGGTGCATAGAATCAGAAGACAGGGAGACATGAGAGATGAAAAATATCCCTTGGCTGAGGAGAGAATGTGGAGTCATGGTAAAAGTTTACATTATTGTTGTTCTCAGATGTCTGGGGCCTTATAATGCTGGGCATTGTCAGAAAAGACAATCCTTGTCCCCGGGGCTTGCATGCTGTAGGAGGCTGCACAGATGGGCAGGCAGTGAGGAAGCTGATATTGAAAACAACACAGGAAGTAGTATAGTATTATGGAAAGACCACAGGAAAAAAGCAGGGAGCCAGGAAGGAAAAGAATAAAACCCAAAAGTAAAAGCGAAAAACAGTTTGTGTGAAGTCTTATTGACTAGAAAGCTAATCGACAATCTTCATACCTTCATTTAATAACAGTAAATGAAGCAGGACTGTGTTTCAGAAGGGAGATTTTCCCTTCTAAGTGCTAAGGAGATAATAGCACAAGGGTTTTTCACAGAGACTAGCTTTGAGCTAATGGGTCACAAGTAACTTGGCAATTTTTTCCAGCCCTGATCATCAGCAATGTATAATTCTTGCAAACTCATACTCTGCCACTAGCAGGTAGGATTGCTCTTAGACAGAGTAATGCAAATCCCACAATAGTCAGAGATTTTTTTTGGCCCCTTCCCTCTCCCTGGTCTATTTCTTAATGTTAGGCTCATCTAATTCTTAACTGTGGAGGAGATCCCATGCCTTGTAACAAAGCTTGCAATAGTTATACTATGTTTGCGTGACACACCCAGATACCTAAACATCAGCAATACAGACGCTGCAAATATTGTATACTTACCTGCCACCTGAATCTCCCTTACTGAAAAACTTTACATCTTCCTCATGTGCCACAGAGGATTTTTATAACATCTTTTTGCCAAAGTATTGAACAGAGCATTTTTAGGAACTATTACTGCAATGATAGGGCAGGTGCAGGCCTAGCTACAGTTCCCATCTTGCTTGTACCTTGATGTGGATGTTAGACTCTGTCTTAGAGATCAGAGGAAGCAGAACGTTCTTGTTAGTCTAAGATTTTCATTCCTCTCAGGGTAATCACTCGAGAGGATTAGACAAGACCTTAGTTTAATAAGATGTGTATGACATGATGAGCCATAGCTCTGAAGTAGTAGCAGTGGCTGAAAACTTAGTCCTTGTTTACAGACTTGTATACTCTCGCTTATTTCCACATTGCATGTTTTATTAACCGCATTGTTTATATCTGAATACATTCTTATTACTACTTGGCCCTTTGGGTTATTAAGCCTGTGTTTCCAGCTGTGCTAAATACCTTGAGCCTATCAGATATTCTGCCAAACTCTGTAATTATTTGGAAATCCGGAATGTGGGCTAAATAAAGTTTACTTGCAGCTGAAGAGCTCAGGCTTCTGAAAATACAGAATATATCAGTAAAGGCTTCTGACTGATTCTAGAAATCAGTAATGAAATCCATAGGTAAGACTTGATTTTTTCAGTAGTGACACAAGTGTTTGTGCTAATAGTGCTGTGGCTCTTGTAGGGGTAAGCAAGCCACTTAGACCAGGGCATTAAAAACAAGTGCCCAGCTCAACACGTTAAATGGGTTTGACTTTCAGAAACGTTGAGTACTTGGCACGGAAACATCTCTGACATCCATTTCTAAAAATCCTGGCTTTGCAGTGCTGTCAGATGACTCTTACTACACTGTGACCTCTTTCAGGACCCAGACCACTTAGACTGCTAATAGGGGAAATAGGATTTAGACTGGAGCAAGGCCTTTACTAGAACTCCTCTACACCCCAAAAATAAGTCTTCATAATGAAAAATCTGGCATGTTTTGAAGTTCCACTGCTTCGCAGTTCTGACAGTAGCTTTTTCTATTTTTTTTAATTGGTCTGCAAACTCTGACAGAGCTTTGGCTATTCTGTTCTGTAACTTTATTCCATGTGTGGAGCCCTATCTTTAAATTGGCAATATCTGACTCAGAAAGATGACAGCCTACGTTGGGTTGGAAAGCTTTAACTACCTAAGCATGAATATCAGCAAAGACTAGCACTAGAGCAGGGGCAGGCAATTATTTTGAGCGGAGGGCCGCTTTCCCAGTTTTGGCAGGCTGTAGAGGGCTGCATGGGTAGTCCCGCCCCTTGACAGGTGCCCCACCCCCTGGTCACCATCTTGGGACCAATGTCCCAGGGCCAGCACCAGTGGGGCCCAAAGCAGGGCACAGGCTGGCAAGGGTCTGTCCTGTGTGGGCCCTGTGCTCCCACTGGCTCCCCGCCTGCTCAAACCCAGTGCCCACCAGCCCTGCGGTGCAGGTGGGGGGCAGCACACATCCCCGACCCCCTGCTTGCTGGCAGGGAAGAAGCTGGTGCTGAGTGTAAGGAAAAGTGGTCCCTCACCTGCCCCATGGCTGGTGCCCCACGTTGCAGGCGCTTGCAGCCCACAGGAAGGAGCATGGGGGGAAGTGACCCCTCCCCACCCACACTCAGTGCCCCGTGCTGCAGCTGCTCGCAGCCTGAATGGGGCTGCCTGTGCCCACTCCGGACAGCCCCATGCGGGCTGCGAGCACCTGCAGCGTGGGGCACTGGGCGTGGGAGGGGCCGCTTCCCCCCTGGCGCACAGCTTTTCCCTGGGTTCCTTTCTTGTGCAGAGAAAGGTGGCCCCTTGCCCACCCCATGGCCAGCACCCTGTACTGTAGGCACTCGCAGCCCACGGCCCCAGGCAGGCTGCGAACAGCTGCAGCACGGGGCGCTGGCCATGGAGTGGGCAAGGGGCCACTTTTCCCTGCACTCAGCACCACCTTGTAACCAGCCCCACTGCCAGCCTGGCAGTGGGGCCAGGTTACAAGGTGGTGCTGAGTGCGGGGAGGGGCGGGGAAGCAGGCCCTCAACTGCCCCATGACCGGTGTCCCGCACTGCAGCCACTCGCACCCTGCCCGGGGCTGCCTGTGCCTGCTCCGGACAGCCCCGCAGGCTGTGAGTGCCTACAGTACAGGGTGCTGGCCATGGGGTGGGCGAGGGACCACTTTTCTCTACACAAGAAAGGAGCCCAGGGAAAAGCTGAGTGCCAGGGGGGAAGTGGTCATTTTTGACAGGAACCAAGGACAGAGAAATATAAATTTTCCAAAATGTTTTGGGGGCCCTGCAGGCCAGCTAGAATGGCCTCACAGGCCAAATCTGGCCCGCAGGCCATATTTTGCCTACCCTGCACTAGAGTGTCACCCTAACTTTAATTAACTCTTGTCATGGGATTGAAAAATAGCTTTTATCCCCTTTGGTGTGAGGTGTGGGGAAGAAAATAACAAAAATGAAAGAGAACACAAATAAAACTTTCTCTGCATAAGGATACTGGCAAGTCGAGAGGCCAGGGTAAGGTGGTGGCAGAAAGAACTATGTTTGGACCTTGCCGTCTCAAATTTTGTCTAGAATAGGATGAAAGGTGTGAGGTTGGCTAATGAATACTAACATGTTTTAAAAGTCTACCTTGTCTTGTCTACATGTGCTAAATTGGTTGAGATTAAACTTGGAAGAAGCCTAGGCTTTTATTAGCTGTATAGGCGACTGGTAGGGGGTGCATGAAGGTGCACATGGCCCCCCTGATGTCCAACACTGATGCTGTTGGTAGAGGTGGTGCCCCCCCCAACAGGGTCAGCGGCTTCTGCGGGTCCCCCCACAGGTTCAGGAGGCACCAGTCACTCATGGCTGTTTTCATATACGTTAAAGGCAGCAGGCCTTGTCTCCGCACTGGACTCTTAAAATGTTAGTACATGTTTGATAACGTACTATCACACCTGAAATCCTAGTCTAGATAAGACTATTGTTGGAGGAGGAGACGCCTACAGTTTTGGTTGTTTTTCTTTTTCCTTATCTTGTAGGAGGCTCGTTGTGAACTCTGTGTTGTCAATACGTTACACCAGAAAGTGTCTTAGTGCAAGGAAAGAGGGAAGAGTAGTTTTTCTTGTGCCATTTTTCTTTAATAAAGTAAAATAAAGACGAGAGAAAGCAATCACTTTTATTTTCCCTTAACAAGAGCCTGTTCGTAAAAAACTTTACATCCCCTTACACCTGAAAAACAAGCACATCCTGTTTGAGTGGAAAACATTTCCCTCCTTGTGTTTACAAAACCCCTGACTCCTACATCCTCTGGTCATGGGTATGTTGGAAATGCCTGTAGATTTATAATAGTTAAATTCTGCAGCTGTTGTTCAGCTAGAGTATACCAAGCTTGAGTTGTTTTTCCCATGAGTATTGTGCCCACATTTTAGTTGTAATATACTTTAATTATAAAATTAAAAGATAAATAAATGAAAACTGCTTGTGGAGTGAGCATTAGATGCAGCTGTGTTTTGAAAGCTGATGAAACATGCTAAATGCTGCCCATGCTTGATATAAATATTGCTGATTATACACATCAGTAGCAAGCTTCAGGATTTAAAATAAATTGGCAATGTACTTCAGTCCCATTACCCCTGCGAATGAAGGCTAAGACATCTGATGGGCATTGGAGCTCTGCACGTTTTAGAGCACATGTGCACACAAATCATCTCTTTCCTAACAAAGCCTGTGCTGCTTTCCAACATTTGCATTGAAGTGATATTGGTATTTAATAAATTGTCTTTGTTTGCACAAAGCTTTGCCGCAGGAAATCTGCAGAGAATTGTCCAAAGGTAAAATCCAATGTTGATGTGATTAATTTAAAGAATTGTTCCTACTGTGTCTTTTCTAGTTCTCTCCGTGGCAGCTCCTCTTATTTCCTAAAGGAGGGAAACTTGTAATCTCCTTTTTTCTGTATAAGAGAGGTGATATGAAGGGTGTGCATGTGTGTGGTTGTTGCAGTTAGTGTCTAGAAAAGAGATTTGTTGTTGGATAAGTGTATGGTGAATGGGCTAATAGAAAAATAAATGGTAACGCCAACTAAACATCTCAGTAAAAATAGACCATCTTGTATCTAGTGCTGTTAAGTCAGCTGCCTAAAACTAGTGAGTTTTTGAGTTTATGTAAATGAGCCATCTTTAAAAAATACCGTTTAGCTCTTGAAGGTATACAGCAAAGCCTAAAGCCAGAGGGAAGAAATGTAACTGTTACATTTTTTATTTTTTTTTAAATCCCACTTAAATAAAAGTATTATCGAGAAAAGCTGATCTGTGTGAAAACACAGTTACCATAATTTTGCCATTGACACAGGTCTAAAATGTTTGTTGTGGGCGTGCTGTGTTCTGCGTTACTATTTGACTGCTTGAAGACCGCTTGAATTTAAGAGCCTCTAGTTTCCAAGACTTAAGTGTGTGAGGCAATTAAGCCAATATAATTAAACCAGTTCCCCTCTCCTTCCATGCTCTCTGCTTTGCGTATATGTTGAAAGGACACTGTCAGCTTAAAATCTGCTTTTTGAAATAGCTCTTAAATAAAGTAGGTTGAGGTACATACTGTTGAGTCCCTCTGCTGCTCCATGTAGCTTCAAACCCAAATTTTTGTTTTTAAGTATAATTTCTCACCACGATTGCTGTGCAGAAAGCAGCACCGGAAAAGGAATAGGTTGTACTGGGAATGTAGTCAACTCTACAAAGCAAATGCTTCTTACTTCTAGTCACTACTGCCATATACTAGCTTCACATAATAGGGAAAAAAAACCTTATTTAAAAAGATTTGCATAATGTTGAGTGCAGGGGGCGAAAGCTTCACAAGATAACAAGCACAGAAAAAAAAGTTCAAGGATGATGCTAGATTATTTACTAAAAAGAATTAATTTTGAATCTTTTTATCTTTATTTTTTTCTTTCTTTTCTCCCCAGAATGAACTGCCAGACACACAGGCGAAATTCCATGTACTTTTCCTTTTCTTTGTGGCTGCCATGTTCTTCATCAGCATACTATCACTTTTCAGCTACCACTGCTGGCTAGTTGGCAAAAACAGATCAACAATAGGTCAGTTAATGGGAATCTGTAGCTGCCATTTGTCTGGAAATCTAAATACTGTTGTGAACATGAGGTATACAGGATGTGGCATAACATTTAGGAAAAATTTAAAAATCTTATGAAATGTGGAACTTCTGGGGTGGAAATAACCAAAAAATTAAAAAAGAGTTTTTATTGCAGAGTCTGTTGCAAGATGATGGCATGTAGTGAGGCCACTGTGCACAGCCAAAGTCTTGGTCCATAGCTGATCACACAGGTTGTTCATTTTCTGATCCCTGAGTAGGGCCAGTTTCTGTTGTATTTTTATGTAGTGTTGAGTATAGGCCCCAAATCCCTGATTCAACGTGCTGCCGTTGCAGAACTTCTATCCAGCAGCTGTAATTGGGCCCCATGAAGGTCAGGGCCACGTTGTACAAGGTGCTTAATGTACATGCAGTAAGACGCAATCCACACCGCAGGAGTGTTGTAAAATCTTATGGGCTGAAAATAAGAGGTAAAATTCTGCTAGAAAGCGCCTTGCGAAAAAGCTGAATTAAGACTGAAAACACTGACAAATATTTTCATTTACTCTTAAAGGAGTAAGAGATGCCACTACAGGCAACCCCTACTTAATGCTCTTAATTCGTTCCAGAAAAACTGAGCATTAAGTGGAACTGTGCTAAGCGAAACCCATTTCCCCATAGAAATTAATGTAAATAGGGATAATTGGTTACTGCCACTTCTTACTGTAGCTTCTAACCATCAGCCCTTCTCTACACCCCTCCGCCTGCCTGCCGGCCGCTCCAGCACCACATGCCAGCCCACACCCCGTGCTCCTGCCGCTCTACCCTGGGCCCCCACTGGCCCTGGCACTGGCGGGGGCCCCGCACTCACGCCTGTCCCTACCCCCCACTTGCTGCTTCTCACCGCCACCACTTCTCCCCACCCCACCTGCCCACCAACCTCTCCAGCACTGTGTGTCAGCCCAGGCCTCCCGCCCCTGCCGGCCCTGGCCCTGCAGCACCAGTGCGGGCCCCGTGCTCATTCCCGCCCTCCCACTCGCTGCCACTCTGCTTCTCGCCACTGTTGCTTTGCTGAGCGCTGTAACGAAACTGTCTCAGTGCTACGTGAAATCAGGTATGAATTTTAAATGAGCGCTATAGCAAAATAGCGCTAAGTGAAACCCCATTAAACCGGGGTTGCCTGTAATTCTTTCTTTTCCTATTGTAAACAGATTCTTGCTGGTCAGCACAATACTTTCTAATAAATATTTAACTTAAAAACATTGGATAATTTTTTTTTTTTTTAAATTCTGTAGTCACATAGGAGTTCAAATCCCACTGACTTTCAGTGAGACCAGCCCCAAAGTGAATTTATTACTTGGAAATGAGACCATCTTCTAAGTCCTGAGGTGATGTTACTGTGATGGTCCAGGAGCTATGCAAGAGGCAAGAGTTCTTGTGGGTGATATTTTTTATTGAACCAACTGTATGGTTAGTTATTACTTCTTTTTAGACCGCAAACATTGAAGATTTGTCTGTACCTGGTAGCATGAGCAAGCTGCCTTCGAAATAATGCTGTGAAGGAAGCTTTAATGTGTTCCCTGCTCAGACATCATCGTTTGAGGCAGATTATCTATTTCATATCTTCCTTCACTAAACTAGACTGTGGTGAGACAACTCTCATGGTATTTGGATGCTGCTGATTGCCTTGATCCTTGTTTGTCTTGTTACAGACTTGGTTTTAGCATCGGCAGTGCATTGGTTGACTTACTTCTAGTAATGGCTAGGAGTTGGATTGTAGTTTATCAGCTGCTTTTGAGTCCATGATCATGAATTAATCTTAATTCAGCTGCTGACTTCAGTGCCTTTACTTTTTTATTTAGGGGAGACTGAAGTGGCCATTAAGGCATGCTTGTTTCTCTTCCTGAAGAAGCTTCAAGCATGGCGTGAAACAGGGTACTACTGTCCTGTTCATTAAGTATAGAGGACTTTTAGGAGATTTAGTAAGGGAGCATTTGGTCTGCTGTCTTTCAAATGCTGATGATACCCAACCAAGGTATCAGTTCTCCAGGTTAAACAACAATGTTTTTAGTACCTTAGCCGATGTCTGTCTAAGATCGGGGCATAAATGGCCAAAGCCAAGTCAGACTGGTACACTGGTGAATAAACCAGTGGAAATTATCCCTTAGGCAAATAAACCAAGTTGACATCCATGCCTTACCATAATGCACTTTATCATTGCTGATAGTTTAGCTACGCTCCCTGTTTGTGCCACGTGTCTTTCTGTTGCCTGCAACAGGCATTAGTAATAAAGAAATTATTTTTTTATTATCTTTGTTTCCCCACCTTCTCAGTATGTTTGCAGTTTAATGGTGGTGTCTATTTATTTATCTTTACAGAAGCATTCCGTGCACCCACATTTCGAAATGGCCCTGATAAAAATGGCTTCTCTCTTGGATGCAGTAAAAATCTGAGAGAGGTTTTTGGAGATGAAACAAAGTATTGGTTGCTACCTATTTTTACAAGGTATTAAATCTTATTTGCGTTAAAATCATGAATTGATTTCAGTGATTCTTTTTCCCACTCCCTCCCCCAAAACCCTCTATCCATAAAGTTTGGAATGTGAGAATTTGTTGAAGGAAGGCTATATTAAACCACTGAACAAACTGAGCTGATGAATTGAACCCTGGGCCACAAGGAGAACTAAGAATCTTGCCACAACTAAGATTATTTTGAAAACTGTTTTTGAGAACATTACTTAGAAAGGAGCTGCCCATTGGAAATGATAGCACAAATGGTGCCTGATACAGAATAGGAATCCAGCAACACAAAGGCAAGGCCTGGGAACGCTCAAGCTACATCTGTGCTACAAAAAAGAAAAAAATGATCAAGGAAAACATGGTATATGTTTTAGAAACAGTGTTTAAAGAAACATTTGACGCAATTTTGCCTTTGTTATAGGGATGTAAATGCCATTTTAAAAATGTATGTTTAGCCTTCTCTAATTATAGCAGTCAAATGATTAACCGATGGCTGGCTCCCCACTGCCATGCGCATTCCCGAGGGGGAGGGGGGACTGTGCCCCCCAGGGCCTCCACAGCCCAGCAGGCATGACTCGGTACGGCAGGGAACAGCAGAGCCACGTGAGGATCTCCTTGCTGTTACGAGCTCCACACTGCCCTGGTAACGTGCCGCTGTTTTGAGGGGTGCAACCCCGCGCTGCTGCTCTCGCTGCAGCCCCATGCGCAGGAGGTGCGTTGCCAGGGCAGTGCAGAGCTCGCAGCAAGCAGCTTCTCACTGCAGCTCTGCTGTTCCCTGCTGCACCATGTCGTGCCTGCTGGGCTGCGGAGGCTTCAGGGGAAGGAAGGAGGGCGAAAGCCCGAGCCCACAGCCTGCGCCTACCCTGCATACAGATCTGGGGGACATGGTCCCCCCTGCCCCCCGGGAGTGCACGCAGTGGTGGGGAGCTGTCTACCTTCTCTCCTCCCCCCCCCCC